CCCCATGGCAGAAGGTTTCATGATATCTTCTCCTGGGCTTTGATGGAGAAGAGCCATAACTAAATAGCAGAGCATGTTATTTGCATGCAGAAGATCCTAGGTTCAATCCCCAGCAACTCTAGGTAGGGCTGGAACAAACCCCGTGCCTGAAATCCCATAGACTCACTGATAGCCAGTGTAAACAATACAGTGGTACCTCGGGTTAAGAACTTAATTCGTTCTGGATGTCTGTTCTTAACCTGAAACTGTTCTTAACCTGAAGCACCACTTTAGCTAATGGGGCCTCCCGCTGCCGCTGCGCCACCGCCACCCGATTTCTGTTCTCATCCTGAAGCAAAGTTCTTAACCTGAGGTAATATTTCTGGGTTAGCAGAGTCTGTAACCTGAAGCATATGTAACCTGAAACGTCTGTAACCCGAGGTACCACTGACAGAGTTACCGGTAAATAGACCAATGATCTTACTCACTATAAGGCAGCTTCCTCTGTTCCTATGCAGAATGCAGGTGGGAACATCGCATGAGAGAGCACTGGGGAATGTTAGAAAGAAGTTGATATTGACCGTTCTACATTTTGGAAGATCCAGTGGTCACTTGTATTACTGACTGTCCCTTATATATGCACATGGTTACCTTTTATATTACCTGGGGAAGGAACATAGTTCAAGGAAGGGATGTAGCTCAGTGGTAGAACATCGACTTTACATGCAGAAGGTTCTAGATTCAATCCCTAACAATGATGGGGACGTGGGTGGCACAGTGGAGATTGCAGTGTCTTTATGATATGTGGTTTATTTGCCCATATATCCAACCTGAGCATATGATGGAGGGGTTCACATTGACATCCCAAGAAGGCATTCTGTTCCTACAGTGGCCAACTAGAGGTCCACAAGAAGTAGAATGCGGGTGGTGCTGTGGTCAAAACCACTGAGCCACTTGGGCTTACCAATCAGAAGGTCAGCAGTTCGAATCCCCACGATGGGGTGAGCTCCCGTTGCTCTTTCCCAGCTCCTGCCAACCTAGCAGTTCGAAAGCATCCCACTGCAGGTAGATAAATAGGTACCGCTGTGGCGGGAAGGTAAACAGTGTTTCCATGCGCTCTGGTTTCCATCACAGTGTTCCGTTGCGCCAGAAGCAGTTTAGTCAACAATTTATTGTTGTTAGCCGCCCTGAGCCCGGCTTCTGCTGGGGAGGGCGGGATATAAATAAAATTTATTATTATTATTATTATTATTAGTCATGCTGGCCACATGACCCGGAAAGCTGTCTGTGGACAAATGCCGGCTCCCTCAGCCTGAAAGCGAGATGAGTGCCGCAACCCAATAGTCACCTTTGACTGGACTTAACCATCCAGGGGTCCTTTACCTTTTTGGTTTTTTTACCAATCCCCAGCATTTCCAGGGAGGTCTGGGAGAGGCCCCGGTCTGAAACTCTGGACAGCTGCTGCCAGACAGAGTAGACAATACTAAGCTAGGTGGACCAACAGTCTAGCTCCACTTCCTATGTTCCTAAAAAGTGCAGGAGGCTGGCTTCCAAGTGCCTGGTATGAGGGCACTCACTGGTTTTGTTTTCGATGATTTTTTTAAAAAAAAATCTGCTCTGATTTCCGTACAAGTAGACGAAGACTTAAAGTTATTTTTAAAAATGTTGAACAACAACAACAATGAGCAGCTGTCAAGAGCATGGTAGGCAGCTTCCGTGACTTCACGTGATTATAAGAAAAACCAGCTGGGGATGTCTTGGGGTTTTCATAAAGTGTGGCCACCCTGGAAGGCTTCAGAATACAGACCACCAAAGAGAAGCTTTGCAGAATGAAAGAAATGGCTCCCACAAACCCTCTCGGCCACTTCAAAATTAAGGTAAGTGCAACAGCAAAAATCCTCTGAAATATTTTTAATGATTTTCAAATGCCATTTCTTTTCACGTTACCTGATAAAAAATGGTTGTGGGGTGGGGGAACGGAAGACCCTTTTTGGCACAGCATCGAATAGACGTCCCTTTACACAGTGCATGCACGTTCTGTACTCAGGTATGCATTTTTGAATAAATAATGGAGAGAGGAAATCAGGCCTTAGCAAAAGAAGCTAACAAAAATAAACGACTGAAACCGTTTAAAAGACAAGAGCTTTGATCCAAGGCACTGAGTTTAGGCCTGAGCATCTCACAGGAAAAGCGGCAAGCCCATCCTTGTTCTTTTCTGTTGCATCAATAAAGGCACGGAGGACAGAAAAGAGTGAGAGGTTGTGACACTACCGGCCAATGCCAGAAAGATATTGATGACTTGGAGGGAGTTCAGAGCAGAGGAACAAAAGTGGTCAAAAGGGGGCGGGAGCTGGAGGAAAGATTAAAGATTAGAAGAGACAAACGTGTAGTTAGCTAGTCAGAAAAGACAAAAGAGCTCCAGATAAACAAAGACTGTCAATGCCAGAAGTGGGGAAAGTGGGCTGAACAAAAGGGGGAGGGAAGTAAGCTAGGAATGCCCTGCCCGTGAAATTGATTAAACCTGGAAAAGGAAAAGGGCATTGGCCAAGAAAAGCAAGGGGAGCCGTATTACTAATTACAATTTTAAAAACTAAACTGGACCACATATTAGATCAACATTTCCCCATGTGGACAGCAGAAGAGCAACTCCCATGATTGAACTGTCTGCGCTCCAAATGCGTAGGAAATTCTTTAGAGTGGTATTTTTAGCAGGCCAGCTCAAGGCATTTTGCCACCTGAGGGAGACCACCCACCCGCTGCTCCCTCTGCTGCCACCTTCTTCTCCTTCCCTCCATTACAAAGTGCCGCTATCCCACCCACCCCCCAAAGACTCACTCTGAGGAAGAATTCAGAAAAAAGTGGGGGTGGGGGAAACACAGAGCATTGCCATCCACTTTCCCGCAACGCCAAATTTATAAATGGTTTTTGCATACCCTCTGACATTTCTCTGATGAAAATAGGGAGATCCTATTCCATACCCGCCAACATTTCTCCAGTGAAAATGGAGACCTCCTAAGGAAAAGCAGGGCATTCTGGGATCAAGTCAGAAACTGGGATGGCTTCTGTAAATCTGGGACTGTCCCTGGAAAATAGGGACACTTGGAGAGTGTGTTTTTGCCACTGTGGAAAAATGGAGGTGATACAGGCAGTCTCTGAGGCCACCTTGTCCCGCAATGCCTTGCTCTGAAAAAGGACCCTACATTGAGATGTATGGTTCTTTTTCAGAGTAAAGCACAGGGAAAGCTGGCTCTTGGACAGCCTCAAAACAGCAGTGCCATCCATTTTGCCACAAAGCAAATGCCATTTAATTTAATGTTTGCACTGTTTTTGCTGCCACATTCAAGTAGTATCAGTGCCATTGATATCTTAAGAGGTGTCTAAATGCATAGCCAAAATCTATAACTAGATGAAATCATGTATCTAACAAATTCATAGTGAACAAGCAGCTTTCAAAATAGTATAATATTGTTATTTTACACAGGATTTACCTTTGGGCTAGCAAAGCTATGGTTGGGGGGTGGGGATTTATCTCAACATGGAAGTTTATCAAAATTAAGAAACAATGCAGAAGCCAATTCATACTAGAATATACTCATTAAAAGTTAAAGCACGGAAAAGGAAAGAAAAGAAATTGTGTGGAATAATTGTCAGGACGAATGACAGCATAATGAATTGGATGAGCTCATTGTTCTGTGCAATCTTTAAACTTCTGTATGTCCATGAAAACAGTGCATTTTTCTGTGATGTGCTATTCGCAAGTCAGGATATAGCGCACCAGATGAAGAAAAATTAAGATGATAATATTTCGCTCATAAAACCACTGGTGTGCTAAACACTGCCATTGTCGATTCTGTGGTTTTTTGAAGAGGAAGAACGCCTGGTTCTTTTGAAAGAGTATTTTATTCCACACACCGACTTTTAAAATACAAGCTAGTTCTTCATTGCACCAACCTTTCCACATTAGTGAGTGACAAGGATTTCTGTGGAGCCTGTTTCACATGTGGCTTGGCAGGTGCTTTACATTTAAGACACATGAGGTTTTTTTCAGATTGTGTTGAGTTGCTCTAATCATAACCTCAGAGAATCAGTCATTGTTTACTTTAGTTCTATCATAAGCACATCTGGGCAACTCTTTCAGTAATGGCCAAGGTAATTAATAATGAACTGAGGTGGAAATCTGATAAAGTACTTATGACATCCATATTAGTGCCAAATGAATTCATCATGGCTGGAGTTATTGTAAAAATGCTGAAGGAATTAAAAGCCATTTGAGGTAGTGTTTTAGGTGTGTTACTAGCATTCATACAGGACAAAAAAGAAGAATTACTTTGCATCATGGGATAACACCGTATCTTTTCAAAATTCTTCTGTTTCTGTATTCTGCCTTTTCCCACTCCCATCAGTATGAATAATGATATATAAAGCTAAATATCAAAATAGGAGATTAATCTGAGTTTTGATTTCTGCAGAGCTCTCTTTCTCATTGTACATTTGGAGGCAAACATCCACAACATTGATCTACCTACCCATCAGCGTGTTACAAATAAACAGTAGCCTACAGCATGGTGGGACTGAACCACTCATCCAGCCTCCCTCTGACTGTGTCATTGCTTCATACAGGGATGGAGAGAAGCAGTGGCAAGCAGCAGCAAGGTCAGCATAGTGCAAACAGCGAGGCCAGTCTGTTGCTCCTGCCAGCGCATTTGCACTGTGCTGACTTCACCGCTACTTCCCCCTCTCTGTCCCAATATGCAGCAGCGACACAACCAGAGGGAGGTCAGGTGAGTGGAAAAGCCCCGCCATGCAATGAAACCAGTTTCTGAACCACTCCATATTACTCAAGTTCCATCTCCATTTTGGTATAACTGAAGCAGAGGTTTAGGCACAAGGTTTAGGCTCAAAATATATCTGCACATAAGTGACGCACACAGCCAGGCATAATAGCATATAGTAAAAAGAATAAAATCTTAGGTCTTAGTGCATCTTTCGTTGTTCCATTCTGTTCCCTCTCTTTCAACATCCTCCACCAGTGTTTCCCAAACTTGGGTCTCCAGCTGTTTTTGGACTTCAACTCCCATCATCCCTATTTAGCAAGACCAGTGGTCAGGGATGATGGGAATTGCAGTCCAAAAACAGCTGGAGACTCAAGTTTGGGAAACACTGTACCCATAACACTGGCCCTACACATCTCCTTATACAGACATAATCGGGGGGGGGGGGAGTAGGCAGGCCATGTAGACTAGGACTACCATGTGTCCGGACATTACTGGGATTTCAAAGGCAAGTCAATCAAAAGCTCAACAACTTTCAGTGTGTCCTGGATTTTGCTTTTAGAAATATGGCAACCCCGGTGTAGAAACACAGCCTGCATTCAACTGGATCATGCCTTCATTTATTGTATAAATTCAGAAGTTGTGTGTGTTCTTGTGTCCCTTTTTTAATTTGAATGTTAACTTTGCAGTGGCCAGTGCCTATAGCATCCTATTGAAATCCTTACTTGCAGCACTCTAGAGGCCTAACGAAGTTAGTCAGTTTTGAGGCCTAAACACCAAACACTAAAAATGCACTTTGAGTACATTCAAGTTAGTTGGGCTTGTGGCCATTACATGACTGTGGCTGTCTGTGGTGGACGGTACCTTATATATTGAATTATTTCTTTGTTTTTTCCTTTAAACCAACCTTTTCCTATTATAGCCAGTTTTCCTCTCTCTTTTTTTTTATCACACATCAAAACCATTAAATCTGAATTAGTCATATCTCTCACATCCATTGTAAGAAAATGTGACATGTGATAAATGCAAAAAGTTTTATTTTTCTCTGCAAAACATTTCAAAACATTGAACAGGAAAAGCAAATAACAAAAATGATCATTGAAATCCTGGGGGGCAGGGGAAGTCTTTCAGAAAGCGCAAGCAAAAATTCATCAAAGGGAATGCAGAAAAATTCTGGTTAAGTATATTAGTTCCTATATAAATATATTTTTAAACCTGCCTCATTGAGTAAATGCTTCTTCAGGATATGGAATTTTTTAAAAAGTAAATAAATAGAATTAATAAGTGTCTGGCATTAAGCAGCTACAATTCAAAACATTTGTTTCCGATGAATTCCAAGGAATAGGAAGAAAGGCCTGTGATGATGAGAAAATTCATATAAAATTTTCATGGTCTCATGGTTTTCACTGTTGAACTGCCAATTACTCATTGGTGTCCCTGTGACGTCCTGCGGATGTACTTGCGCAGATTATTTACAAAAGCTAAGGAGTGATTAAGAAAGGCAGCAATGTTGAAAACATCCCCTGTTATGGTTTTGCTATACTTGTGGGCCCTTCTTTGTAATCAGTGAGAGAGAGAGGCATATCCCAAAATTCTATGAGTCATTCAGTTAGGTTTCTGACAGAGCGCAACTAAAAGCACACAAAAAAGAAGAAGGGAAGTGACCAGATGGCCAATGATTAGGGATGTTGGGAGCTCTGGCCCAACAACATCCAGAGGCCACCTTATTGGCTAACCCTGTCTTACAATCCAACATAAGAACATAATAATTGCATTGATATAATTTTGAAAGATCTGTTGAAGATACACTATCAGTGGAATCTCGCTCTTAAATTTAAATGTTTATTTGATTCTTAAATGGCTGTTGTTGATTTATGGGGGTCCCAATTGTACGGGACACACAACAGCTCTTCATGCATAGATGTCCTCCATGAAGACATCTCTAAGCACCAACGCATGCCTGATTCTAACGGCAGGATCAGTGGCAGGTCCGCATTCTTCAGTCACTGTATGAACATGAGAAGAGTTTTGCTCTACTCTCACACTTGTAAAATTTAACTGCTTCTCCCACCTTTCTTCTTTTTTCCATCGTCAACATTTCATTTGGTGTTATGAGTGGAGGGAGAACAGGATGGGCAGATAGAGATGAAGTGAGCATAGGAAATGATGTAAGTCCTCTCCCTCACCAGTGGAGAAACCTGGACTGAGAATCCCCTAGACCAGGGTTTCCCAAACTTGGGTCTCCAACTCTTGTTGGACTACAATTCCCATCATCCCTCCTCACAAGCAAGACAAGTGGTAAGAGATAATGGGAATTGTAGTCCAAAAACAACTGGAGACCCAAGTTTGGGAAACACTGCCCTAGACCTTTTATTAAATAAATAGTTAATGTGTTGTTTATTTGCCTTTGTTTGTTTGTTTGCTTGTTTAAAAAAATCCAAATTCACATTGTTGGGGTGGCTGAGAAATCCCATACAGAACAACCAAACTGTAATAATGGTGGCCACTGCTGCTTAGAGAATCTGCAATCAAACAGGGCAGCATCAATGATTTGAGGGTTTGAACTTTAAAATGGCATTTTTCCCACATGATGTCACAGACAGCTCTCGAGAAGGAGTCACAAGGTTAAGTGAAACTGTGAGCAATCTAAAATAATCAGGTCATTTTTGGAACCTGCAAAATGAAACACAGTTATGAAACCAGGTAACTGCATGGCTAGTTACCTAATCACACCTGCATTTATCGAGCAGGTGCAGCAACTCCGACTTCCAATAGCAATTCAGCAACAATCCTAAAAATGCCGGTGCCATTCCAAAGTAGAAAAGGGAAAGCCACACTCTTGACGTTTTACTTACAAGTCAGAATCCTGCAATGTGCCTTAAGCTCATTGACTTCATGGGGCTTAAGTGTACCTAATACAGTGCCAAACTGCGGCTGTAATTTGCAGAAGCACACACAATTGGGAGATTATGCATAATAATACCTCCTGCATGGAATTAGAATTCTACTTGCAATTGTAATTCACTAGCAAAATGCCCATCATTATGGGAGGTAGTGTATTTTGGAGAAAATATTCATATATAGTGGGGACTGCAGGCAGTGTTCTTGTTGGAAGCCAGGCCACCAACTTTGTGCCATTGTTCCCCTGCAGAACTTTGGTGTTCTCCATAGGTGTGAATGGCAGCCATTCACTTATATGGGAATAAAGGATACAATCATGGACACCATTTGATGGGACAAATGGGGCTAGTAAATCCAGTATCTGGAATAAAGAGCGTACCCAACTAAAAATCAGTTGTCCCAAATTACAGCTCCTTTACTGCCTGCTCCCATCTGCAAAGCTCCACCTATTCTTCTGTATCACTCAACCCTACATTTCTGGGGTCACATTAGATAATGCTTAGAGCAAATCAGAAGATGCTTTCACTCATTCCGTCCACGCATACCACAAGAGGGACCATACTTGAAGGCCCTGCACACACAGTGAGTGGAATGTCTAACCCAAACTATATTAAGACTCCGTATGAAAAAAATTTAAGAAGAGCCCTGCACCCAAATATGTGCATCATCACCAAATCTTTGCATGTGTTTCCCAAGATCAGTCTAAAATGGACCAATGGATTTCTTTCCAACAAAACCTAACTGTGACTTTCGAAAACTGCTGTGCAGAAAGTTAGACCATTGTCAAGGCTTCAGGGAATCCTATCCCTCCCACGGTGGGATGCCAAGAAGCAGGAAAACAAGAAGAAATAAATTGCCAAGTAATTTATTCAATATTCACAGAGAGAGACAAAGGAACGTGGTCTCTCTTAGATAATGGCGTTGCTCCAAGTAAGGCCCCACCCCCTCAGTTCCTCCTATTCTACGTCACCCCTGTGCCAGCTGATCTGTACTTTTTGCCTCTGAGCTTTCTGTTCTACTACTCTCAAGGCACGCCTGGTTCTGGGAGAGGGAGGGTCAGGAATGCCGTCAAGAGACACTGTCAGCTGTCTCTCCCCTGTTGCTTCTTCTTCCTGCTGCTCTTCCAATATTTCCCAGCTTCTCACCTCTGCAGCCTCTGAACCTTCTGCAAACCACTGTTCTAAATCTATACTGTCCTCCTCTTCTCTGGAAGGTGCAAGAAGGGTGGGGCAGATCCCACCATTCCTCCTTAGTCCAGGCCCTGACATTCATTGACCCATCTAGCTCAGCCTTGTCAACACTGGCTGGCAATAGTTCTCCAGAGTGTCAGATGGGTTCTTTCTCAACTCTACCTGGAGATGCAGAGAGTTGAACTCGGGACCTTTCACACTGCATTGGGCTGGTTCTGAGTCTTGCTTCTTGCCCCTAATTGATTCACATAGCTGGTTGTCAGACTTCTCTATAGTGGTGGTTCATTTTGTCTGTTTTGTTTGGGCATCCGGTGACAGTACGCACCAGGAGGAAGAGACACAGGCCAAATGGATACAGCCCACACAATTTGCTAAAGAAACGCAAAACCCGCAAGTACTGTGACAAGGCATATTTCCCAGTCCGAATATTATTTCTTCAGTGGTAATTTGCATGTTCATACCCCCTGAAAAAATTGTCGCAATGACTTTCTCATCGCCACAGGGAAACAGCAGACTGTTTCTGGGATTCCACCACCTCATGACACAATGGGTCATTGTGTCTTGCTGTTAACCAGAAGGTTCGTGGTCCAAGCCCACCCAGGGACAGCTGGGGGCAGGAGGCCTGCATTGGGGTCCCTTCCAACTCTATGATCCTATAGCTCTAAGATTCCTCTCTGCGTCTGTATCCCTGAACAAATTCAGGCCACTCCCTACTGAGTGAGTTGCAAACATCTGAACTTAATTTTAGATTTTTCAGAAAACATTGTGATGGGTGCTGTACGGGTTTTATTTAAAAAGTACAGTTGATGCAGGGGGGGAAACAGACCAAGTAAAAAAGAGTAACTCAGAAACAAAACAACCACCAATCAGCTAGGTATAACTGCAAGAAATGAAGGTGAATTTCAATGAAGCAATATCTCCAGTACAGAATACAATGTGTACCCAGGGATATAGAAGTTGTGGCCCTCCAGTTGTTGCTGGACTTAAACTCCCACCAGCCCCAGCCAGCATAGCCAATGACCAGGGATGGTGGAACTGTCCTATAGCAACATTTGGAAGGCTCCACGTTTCCCATCCTTGGTACAACAGATCAATAAAGCATTAATCTCTCTCAACATCCACTGCCTTCCAGCCTCCTCAACTTCTGAACCTAGTTACACATAACTTGGCGCACCAATAAAGGCTTGTGCATTTGTATTGCCTAATCCATGTGTTTTCAGGAGGCTGGGGGGAAATGAGGAACCATGTATCATAAAAGCATTGTTGACTCTCTTAAGCCCCAGCCTCCCTGACACATAAGCTTATG